GAAATCATACCGAAATTCATGTGTTGATGCAATAAGGTGTATTGACAATTATGTCATTTTACAATAAAAAATAAATAGAACTAAGAATGATGGTAGCTTACAATAACCTATCAAAATTGAATAAAATATAAGCATGACGTGTTACAATATCAATCATGTATATCAAAGCTGACAATGTCATAAACATGAATTAAGACCGATCACATCATTGTATCACAGTACGCCAAGAGTATATCACGATATATTGCAACACAGAGTGAATTTATTGCGATACGTTTCCCGATATATTGTCATAGGAAGGATGTGCTCAATTTTATTATAAGTTGTTGTCAGAATGCTATTAATTTAATCATATATAATATGGATTAAAAAAATTGTCAAACCAACCATCGATTACAAAATTTGAACTATTAAAAGCCTGCTTTATGCTTATTGACATATCTGTTAGAATTTGTAGTAATTTGCAAAAGTTAAAAAAAAACAAGCAGATACATAAAAATAAGCTTTAGAAAATATTGCGATACAGCAATAGTTTATCTCTGTATTGTGGTATGATACGATATACCAGTGTATTGCGATATACCTGTTTTCCGATATATTGTGACAGTCCTACACAAGTATCGAATTTCATCACCAGGACACCATGATGATACTAACAAATTTTTAAACAAATTCAGATCTTTAATAATTAATCATTTATGAGAACCCATGGTAAGGATCACCAGACATCACGATGATAAAACGTTATCAATAAAATCAAATTACTTCTAACCTAATGCCATTTAACATTTGTCAGTGATAAAAAAAGTTCTCGGCAAATCAAACAGTACTTAAAACCACATGATATAACAAGGGGGAGAGTAACGGTTCTTGAAGAAATGATTTGTCATCTAACATTTGTGGAGTCTAAGAAATTTCCCATGGTCGGTCGATAATCGACGTTAAATGAAGACTATTTTGTTGACAATAGGACGTGGAATCTATAACGGGTTCCCGTTGTTCAAATGATCAAATCGCGCGGTTCTTTATCGATAAAACTGAACACAATGTTTTCTAGGTATTTCATGTTATTAACTTAATCATATATGATATGGATTTCATGTTATTAACTTTATCATATATAATATGGATTACATAGATTTAAGATTTTTCTCAAACCAACCATCGATAAAACTGAACACAATGTTTTCTAGGTATTTCATGTTATTAACTTAATCATATATGATATGGATTACAGTATACATAGGACGTGGAATCTATAACGGGTTCCCGTTGTTCAAATTATCAAATCGCGCGGTGCTTTATCGATAAAACTGAACACAATGTTTACAAGTAATTCCATGTTAAATTACAGTGTTAGCTTCGATATAATGAGCATTTTATTGTTGTAAATGGTTCTGTTATTGTTCGCAACTATCTCGACAATGTTTAATTGTATATTTGCCAACTATACATAAACTTTTATGATAATTGTACTACGCGACTGCGATGAAAGTGAGTCGACTTAGTGATATGATAAGGGCTGATACGAAAAAGTAGTTACGACATGATTTCATATAAGTATTTAGTACATTGACATATGATGACTTAAATTATCAATTATATTGAATTGTGATTACTTACAATTATGACATTTATTCAATACGATTATGTATAACTATTAATTACGTTGAAACATATCCTGCTCTTTTGTTGTCTACAGATTGCAGTTGGTTACGACAAACATACTTACATTTACAAATTAAAACGACAATATAATATATGGACCGATATTTAAAATATGACAAACTATATATGGAAGGAAAATAATTTAAAAAAATGACAATTAGCCCCTTAATGCCGTCACAGCGGAAGTTATCATACAAGGTCCTAACACACTGGGCAATATAGTAATGCATGCAACATTTAGCTTGGCTTGCATCCTAATCCCATGAGCTACGTTTTGTTTGATATTCATGGTAATTTGAATATTATCAGAAGTACACATGTAGTTTACATCAGAATGGAGGGTAAACATATACCTATTTTACATATAACAGTGATACTATTCACTGTTGATTTGTGATGAAGAAAACACAGTTTTCAATTAAACAAAGGGATTTCTTAGTTCATTCTTACATCACTATTTCTTATCTACTATATTCTTAAATCCTTAGAGAAGAGCGGAAACAATTTTGAGATTTTGCATAAGCTTATTCAGTTGTTATTTGTACTAACTTTAATGAATGAAAATTGTGTTGCATCATTTAGGTGACTATTTCTGACATTAGAGACACGATGCCATATCCCTTGTGTAGGAACAGCAAAACTTTATGATATTTAGCATTTCTTTTGTGAACTTTGGATTAACAAGACAAACTATGCATTTGCTAGATACCATCATTCATGTTAATAGAACTGTTTCATCGGAACGTCTTCCTAAAAGCAGGATTATCATATAATGCCTTATCAAATTAATTGTCTCTTAAATCATCACGCAACGCACAATGCATTTAGATTGTACCACAATATGAATACATGTTACTTTCTGTTTTATCATATACACCTGGCTATTCGTTTCTTTTTACAGTATCCTTTCAGACAGGTTTTGATACCTGCCCTGCGTTCATAAGACAGAGAGACGTTCTACAGATTCTGTTGTCATTGCAAGAATATTAAAGGTAGTGTATTGTATCTCAACATAGTATCTGAGTAACCGTCCTCATATTGATCCACGGTAGATAAGATAGCATAAGAACGTAGGAAATCAGGGCCCACTTGTATAAAACATCTCAACTCTTGAGATTTCCTCAAGTCTAAGAGTTCCCATAGATAATACATTGCTTGAGATTTTCCTTAACTTTGAGATGTTTTATACAAGTGGGCCCAGACTCCCACCTATTTACACTATGACAGTTATAAATAAAGACCAACGTCCTTTTTAGTTAGATATTCTGTAACAAACCGTTATAATATAAACTTTAATTATCTAACAACAATAATGAAACAAGTTTTAACAACTTATATCAATCACTCTTGCTGGCCCGTATGTAAGCGCGCGGGGGGTCTTCCTGTTAGAGAAAACCGGAGAACCCGGAGAAAATCCACGTGGTCGGGCAGGTGATCTCATACCTTTTCACGCCTGATCGGGGAATCGAACCCCGGTCGCCTCGATGAAAGGCATAAAATACCGTTAATACACAACAATCTCGGTACAAAATGACAATTAAAAAAACAGAGGCGACACAACAACAAAAGGAAGGAGACAACATGAATGCATACAGAAACACGTAGACGAATATGGGGGTGTTCAACAGCACACACTGCATGTGGCTCTTGTTATAGATGTCAGTCAGCATGTGTCCTTTAAAATTTCAATTTTGTTCCAGTAAGTGTCTAACTAAGAATGAAGCTTACTAGTGTTTTGGTATGTTTTAATCCGTGTAATACCAATTTTTCATAATTGTTATAAGATATATCAAGTTTATATTTATATATATATATGTGTTTTTGTGTATATATATATATATTGATGTATTCAGGTGTAAGCAGGAGTATTACATGTATGCATATGTAATTTGTGCTTTTCTGAAAGAACATAGGCATACAATAATATGTGCATTTGTGTTTTTTGATAATTTCTTTTGTAAATGAGTGTCTGTAAGTGTATCATTGCATATGTTTTTTATGTACATGAATTATGTAATATGTGCGTGTTCGTGTGTACGATACACATACAGTAAAGTGTTCGTGTGTACGATACACATACAGTAAAGTGTTCGTGTGTACGATACACATACAGTAAAGTGTTCGTGAGTACGATACACAAACAGTAAAGTGTTCGAGTGTACGATACACATATAGTAAATTGTTCGTGCGAACGATACACTTACAGTAAAGTGTTCGTCTGTACGATAGACATACAGTAAAGTGTTAGTGGGGACGAAACACATACAGTAAAGTGTTCGTGTGTACGATACACATACAGTAAAGTGTTCGTGTGTACGATAGACATACAGTAAAGTGTTCGTGCGTACGATACACATACAGTAAAGTGTTCGTGAGTACGATACACATACAGTAAAGTGTTCGTGTGTACGATACACATACAGTAAAGTGTTCGTGCGTACATCTATAATATGCGCGTGTGTGTCGTATATAGTAAAGAACATGTATGAGTGCGTACGTGCAGTAATATATATATGGATTTTTCTTGTGTATTGCAATTGATTGTACGTTACATTGGTCATGCATAGTAGTATCCCAGATTAAACTTATTGCTATTGTCAGATATCAACATGTCTATACGTAATATACAAGCAATTTATCAAAATCAACAAAATGTCTCAAATTGTGTTTACATTTTTTCTTCTTCTTATGATTCAGAATATCTGGCATTTAAACATATTCAAAGAAAAAAAGGAGAGCAGAAATAAGACAGAGGAAGACCTATTAACTTGATTGAAACCCTCCTGATACATGGTTATCATGATCCATTGGTATCTTAATGTATACATATTTAAACAGCGGTTCGCTTGATTCAATATCCCTCAATATTACTTAATGTTTTACACTCACTTTTTTTTCTTTATGCGAAATAAGATATGGGTTTAACTTAATAAATGGTGTTGTACTGTTGTATTTATGTGACGAGACGGTCAAAAGCGGAGCCCACCGATCTCAAAATCCCAGCCTAATACGTGATCATTCGTCCTATAATGACAATGTGCAAAGTGGCCACTTAAAAAACCGTAAGTCTCCTCTTTCGGATGCATTCAATTCATAATACAGATTTCCGAATGAGTGTGGGCGTATTTGGTCGGAAAGGTCGCGTGTATGCACACTGCCACCTCGATAACCAACCCGGCACGCGACACTCGACGATTCTGATTGGCTAAATGTGATCAACACGAGCGCTTTATTTACATAGCAGGATTATAATATAAACTGATTTTTCATTAATTTTAACATGAAGAAGAATTACTTCTAAGCATTGAATATAGTTGGATGGATGTTGGCAAGAAAAAAACATGCCATGTTTTTGTATTAATTAGGTTTTTCCTACGATATATATAAAGCATGGAGGAAGTGGACTTTGACGATTTTGATGCAGCAATTCACGATGAATTTTCCCTATCGCCCGTTTCACCGTACTCCTCATTTAGTGACAGTCTTTCACCATTTTCCAATGACTCGTTGGGTTCAAATTGTCGGAGAAGCGATGATGGAATACGGCGACGAAAACGACGGCGATGTCCGTTTCAGCTTGTACAACAAAGAGAAGCTGCTAATCAAAGAGAAAGAAAACGAATGCAGTCTATTAATGAAGCGTTCGAAGGACTTCGTACACATATTCCAACGTTGCCTTACGAGAAAAGGCTATCAAAAGTGGACACACTTAGACTGGCTATAGGATATATATCATTCCTGTCAGATTTAGTGCAAGCCGATTCGGACAATCAGGACCGGTTAGACCTTAATTCAGGGTTACAGACACGGAAGGTTGTTATCCATTATCATACAAGTAAGTCTTTTAATTTATAAAACTATAATTCATTCTTGATATTTTTCAATAAGTGCGCTTCTTTCGTTTATTTGATTTAGATTTTGAAACTGATTTTCATATACATGTATAGTCAAATCTCATCATAATGTAATTACATACTAAGTAGGTTTGGTATTATCAAAAACAATCTTAATATATTGAGAAAAACGAAATAGTTAAAAATGTGAAAAATACACATTTGAAATACTTTAAGTTTGCAGTAAGAGGCTTGGAAAATGAAACGAGGCATTATTCCAAAGTGTTGTTATCTTATTAAATAGGTAATTTTGTTTATGTAGTCTTTCGACAGATGTAATTTTTAGAAAATCTTCAAACATATCCTATATACAACTCCATTAACATTGAAAATCGACCTTTTCACGCCATACTTCGCTCTTAAAGGAATGCATTATACTGCGAGTTGCGTTTCATGGCGAAAATTGTTCCACTTGAAGTAATTTGTCTGTAATGATTATTTCGTTTACTGGGTTTAAATCTAAAAGATACAAAAATGACATAATTGTTAAGTCTAAAGATGTTTTGGGTTATGCCAATAAATATGGGAGACAATTTAAGCTCAAATATAATGTGTAAGGTTGTAGGACCTGACCTGTTACTCAAATCGCAAGTACAATGTGTTAAGGATATCATGTAACCTTAAGCGTTTAACTGATCACAGGTAACGCGGCAATGTATCCTCGACTAACGATAACAGTATGCAGATTTATGCGTATACCGTTTAGCGTCTTTTAAATTACCAAACGTGTATTTGAACTTATAAATAAGGTAACCCTGGATCACAACAATATACTTTTTGATTCTATAGCATCTATTGTATCAAACCAAGGATATTCTCCTGAAAATATTTCTTGCTTTTAATGTGGTACATTGTGTAAGTTTATGCATTAAGCGAGGATATATAAAAATGGGACCAGTATGTAGAATAAGGAGACGTGTAGATGTTACAATAAGGATTAGTTTGAATAAGCAAAAGTGTGTCTGTAATCATCCCTATGATTCGTCACGCCAAAATGAATCACGTTATACATGGACAATAATCCTAAAAATAGTTCCCGCCAATTACATTGCCATCCTGCTAGGAGAACCTCTTTATATGTCATATATTGATATTAAAGTAAACAAAAGATGAGTAATATCTCTGTACCATATACTGTTTCGTCTCTGTATTTTTTCTTATTTTGGAAAGTTCGCTGACCAAAATATCCGTTTTGTCGTTATCTGAGGACTCAAAGATTTCGAGAACTTATTGTTTGTTTGATAATATTTATTAACATATATTATTCAAAAGATATATAAAACATACCTTTGTTAATTTCTAACAGTATGGAATACATGTCATGCCCTCAAACTACTATTCAGTATGCAACGCATATAGACTTAATCTATGGATAACCAGCTACGCTTTCAGGATAAAGAAAAGGAAAATATGGTTTATCAAAAGATCAAAATTTGCTTTGAATATTTCATTTAAACACTATATGTGTAATGATTGTCATTTGCAGATTTCACTGATAGCTACTGAGTCAAAATTATGCCAAAAAGCAAACAAATTAAGGGCACATGTTCGCAAGCGAACAAGCGTTTCGGTCCCTATAGATGTCAGATTGGAGTACGTATTGTCTCCGAACAGGGCAACGTCTTCCTGACTTATGGGGCTCCACTGTTTATAACGGGTCGTTTAAGGGATCTTGCTACATTCCCGAACCTATCAAACAAACACGATGCTAGGATTTATCGGTAAAGACAGTCTTAATTAAAGCCACAAAACGAGCATCGCTATCTACTTTAAACGAACGATTTGTTTGCTGACGATTGCCGATGTTTACCGACTCTCTGCTTTGTTTATTCACGGCTCATTTCAAACGTTCGCCCATTTCTCTTATAATAATAAATTGCTGCTGATTGTCACGTGACTAAATGTTTTTGTTTTTGCACGTGTTTAGGTTCAACCGTGGATGAAAGTGAAATGTATGGATTACCGCCCTTGACTGGACATTCTTTATCGTGGAGGGACGAGAAAACGCCCTCAAGTGGACGGAAGAAAATAATGGCAGCAAAAATATGGACACCAGAAGACCCCAGGTCTCACAATAGTCCCCGGATGGAGACAGATTTCCCTATTTTAGCTGATTCAACCAACCCCTTGTGATTTTGAAAATATATATATATACATATATTTATAAATAAACTATAAATTTACATTTAAGTATAATATGATATATTCATATGTGTTTGAAATAACAACGTGTTATGAGATGTGCTTTCCTATTTATCGACCAGAGGAGATCTGATAAATGTAATGGATTATGGAAGTCGGAGACATCCGGGTGAATATTTCATTATTTGATCGAGGACAGTTTAATTTAGTATTGTTCCTAAATTGTAGGTGGTTTGTTATATAAGGACACCTACCTAATCTGATCTTTAGTGATCTGGCCATTCTTTCAACGTGTTTCGTTATACTTACTTCGCCAAATGTAACCATTCCATTTTGGGAAAGAAATCACCATACTGAAAGCATTGTATGCGAACTTAGCTGAAGGACAAGCATTTAAGTGACGCATGGATGCCGATATGAAACTAAATAGAACAATATGAATATTAATTGATACTTTAAAGACATTGTATATGAAGTGGTAATTGCGAGGTATAGCGCTGTTCTATAGCATTTGTGATATCACTGTTCACTAGCATAAGCTGGACAATTAATTGTATTCGGGAATGAGAGGGGTTTGTATGTTCAAACACGTGTAAAAAGTCCTGAGCTCGTTTCATCTCCTAGCATTTTTGCGTAAATACTATTTATATTTCTTAAATATCAGCATATGATTATTAATCGAAGCATAGTCTTTTATTTTGTCTAATATCGATAAAGGACATACAGGTATATATTTAAGAAATAGGCGCGAACATTTCTCATTCCGCTTTATCGGCAGGAAAGGAAATAATTGTTTAAGTTGTTATCTCAAATCACGATATTTTACACCAGTTATTACGCCAATTTCCAAAGACAAATACAGGCTTTTTACTGTAATTAATTTGGTGAATTGTAATACACTATTTCGTGAACAAATTCCTTTTTATGATTTGAAAACGTGGGCAGTAAAGGTTATTTTTGTTTTTATAATTGTTGTAATATCGTAATTGTATACGAGGTGAATTGTAGTAATACAAGGGTAATTCCTAGGGTATTTTAGTAAACATATCACATCCGGGACTTAATGCAATACACAGTGTGGTCATCTATAATTAATTATATTTTCTATCTATATTCATCAACAAAATTATTCTAGTCTAATAAAATAAATATATCATTAAAAATCGTGTTTTGTTTATATTGTGAATGTCAAAATACCTTTGGAAAGCGTCTCAACATGTCGACCTTGTTTGCAGATTTTAAAAAAAAATGAGAGAAAAGCATTGTTTAATAAATTCGCCTTTGTGAAATTTATATGAATCATAAAAATATGATAACAGCAATAAATTGTACACAACCTTCCTTTAAATGTGCAGTACATCGGGGTTAATATGCACCGTACAACTAAGCTTCGAATTACTGTACCCAGAGACGTATATATTAAATATATATGTACGTCTCTGCTGTACCCGATGACTTTCTGTTTGCTTTCATGTACAATGAGCAAGAGGATTGGTGTCTACAAGATGTATCCACATTTGTATGTGTCACACTGGTAAAATACTAGCCACTTCCTACCGACTTGGATAAGGCGAATTTCTCTTCAGCTCATTTGGTAGAGCGTAAGACTGGTAAGCCAGGGGTTCCCAGGTCTATTGACAAAAATAATGACCTCCGTTACAATGGCGCCCCACGTGGGGCACCGGGTAATATTGATAAATATACTCTTTAAAGAGACGGGTTGCCTGTGGGATGAAACACGTCACGTGGGTGTCGTTGGGATGGGGTAGGATAGGATGAAAGGAGCGGAACCAAGAAGTGTGATTCGTTTTATAATGCATGAAGCTGCACCAGATGATAAAATCTGATATTTCCTGTTTAAGTTAAAGAACTGGAAAAAAAAATAAGAATTGTGCTTTATGTTCACACATTCCTGATATTAGATCTAGTCCGTTACACAAGCGTTAGAGAAGGTGAGTTTCTATACTGTAACACTGTCTTACTCGGCCCCCGTATAGCCGTATGTGTTAGACTATGGGCCAGTCACATACATTAACATCCCCACCAGTAACCACTGAGCTCAAATTTCACTGCCATTCAAGATGAATCCCCTCTGATACACAGGACATCATACCTGGGAGGTAAATATAATGCTGTTTTAACGTCCTATGAAGCGTATCTCTAAAATTGTCACGCTTAATTTATAAATTTCACGCTTGAGTTACGGCGCATAGTAAAACGGGTGTTCTTGAATTAATGTTATATGCAAAAAGCATTGTCTGTGTCTGACTTTCATTTTTTTCAAATCTAGGTAACCGATTGTGAACAAGCTGCCGGCATCATTCCGTTACCACATAAAGATAAAATGTTACAGAGAAATTAACTGCTAGGCGTGTTTGTCCGGCTGCAGATATCCGTAACAAATTATCCCATCAATCAACATTCAAAATGGCGACGATGACGGATCACCGCTTTACCTGTATTTAAAGTGAAGCCGTTTGTAATCTGCCGTGACGCCATAACAACGCTAAACAAATAAAACCCGGTGTACTTTGAACGACCGAAGACACAAACAAATGACCGCTGGATTATTCGCGTTATTACAGAGCTTAATTTTCATGGTCATAAGATATTGTCTGAATGGCCCCTTGCATCATTAATAACGGCAATGTGTACATAGTAGAAGGCTAGCTCAGATCACATTACAATGTAAAGGGACGTATCACCTGTTTCGTAACCTATCGGGCCTTATCCAATGACTAATGCAAACACCCGCACCAGCGAAATGAACCAGTGGCCGTGTTGTCCTTTTCAAAACCTGAATTAGCGCAAGGCAGACGAAGCAATTATTATAATCGCAACGCGCATGTATGTGTATTAATATCTCACTGTATATTTACTTAGTCTTAAGATGTACAATTATTTTCACCTACTAGTAATACATATCTATAAATACATCAATAGTATTTTTAAACTAAATTTAACTATATGAATATTAACTAGACGTTTTTAGTAAAATATGAGCATCAAGCGTATCAGATACATCTCCCAAATTTGTTTAAAAAATATAAATCATAATTCATAACGTCAACGCATAAGTAAAAGCTACCACCAAATCTTCAAAATAAAAGTTAAAAAAATTAAAATACAACAGCGTCAACACGTCAGGAAAAAATATTCCACAGCGCCACCACAAATGACAAAATATACCACAGCGTCAACATACACGAGCACAAAATATACCACAGCGTCAATATACACGAGCACAAAATATGTCACAGCGTCAATATGCACGATACACGAGCACAAAATATACCCCAGCGTCAACATACACGAGCACAAAATTTACCCCAGCGTCAACAAACACGAACACAAAATATACCCCAGCGTCAACATAAACGAGTATGGAATATACCATAGCGTCAATATACACGAGCACAAAACATTTCACAGTGTCAACATACACGAGCACAAAATATACCACAGCGTCAACAAACACGAGCACAAAATATACCACAGCGTCAACAAACACGAGCACAAAATATACCCCAGCGTCAACATACACGAGCACAAAATATACCACAGAGTCAATATACACGAGCACAAAATATACCCCAGCGTCAACATACACGAGCACAAAATTTACCCCAGCGTCAACAAACACGAACACAAAAGATACCCCAGCGTCAACATAAACGAGTATAGAATATACCATAGCGTCAATATACACGAGCACAAAACATTTCACAGTGTCAACATACACGAGGACAAAATATACCACAGAGTCAACAAACACGAGCACAAAATATTTCACAGCGTCAACAAACACGAGCACAAAATATGCCCCAGCGTCAACAAAAACGAGCACAAAATATATCACAGCGTCAATATACACGAGCACAAAATATGTCACAGCGTCAATATGCACGATACACGAGCACAAAATATACCCCAGCGTCAACAACCACGAGCACAAAATATACCACAGCGTCAACATACACGAGCACAAAATTTACCCCAGCGTCAACAAACACGAACACAAAATATACCCCAGCGTCAACATAAACGAGTATGGAATATACCATAGCGTCAATATACACGAGCACAAAACATTTCACAGTGTCAACATACACGAGCACAAAATATACCCCAGCGTCAACAAAAACGAGCACAAAATATATCACAGCGTCAATATACACGAGCACAAAATATGTCACAGCGTCAATATGCACGATACACGAGCACAAAATATACCCCAGCGTCAACATACACGAGCACAAAATTTACCCCAGCGTCAACAAACACGAACACAAAATATACCCCAGCGTCAACATAAACGAGTATAGAATATACCATAGCGTCAATATACACGAGCACAAAACATTTCACAGTGTCAACATACACGAGGACAAAATATACCACAGAGTCAACAAACACGAGCACAAAATATTTCACAGCGTCAACAACCACGAGCACAAAATATACCACAGCGTCAACAAACACGAGCACAAAATATGCCCCAGCGTCAACAAAAACGAGCACAAAATATATCACAGCGTCAATATACACGAGCACAAAATATACCACAGAGTCAACAAACACGAGCACAAAATATTTCACAGCGTCAACAAACACGAGCACAAAATATGCCCCAGCGTCAACAAAAACGAGCACAAAATATATCACAGCGTCAATATACACGAGCACAAAATATGTCACAGCGTCAATATGCACGATACACGAGCACAAAATATACCCCAGCGTCAACAACCACGAGCACAAAATATACCACAGCGTCAACAAACACGAGCACAAAATATACCACAGCGTCAACATACACGAGCACAAAATTTACCCCAGCGTCAACAAACACGAACACAAAATATACCCCAGCGTCAACATAAACGAGTATAGAATATACCATAGCGTCAATATACACGAGCACAAAACATTTCACAGTGTCAACATACACGAGCACAAAATATACCACAGAGTCAACAAACACGAGCACAAAATATTTCACAGCGTCAACAAACACGAGCACAAAATATACCACAGC